TGAAAACAATAAATTATTATATAATAAATGAGAGTTTTTAATTTGTTTCCAGAGAGGTTTCGTAGAAGCAAAAGTTGATGATGGACTTGTAGAAATATTTGGTCTAAAACAAGGATGGCATGCATCATTTGTCATGGTTGAATTGATTTCTGCAAAGCATATAGCCCAGGTACCACGCATTCTTTTTCTAGAACTTCTCACAAATTCAAAATCTATAATTTCAATACATATATATGTGCTACTTTTTTTTTATTTCTGACTAGTAGAAAAAACTATTAAAAAATAGAAAAAAAAACAAAATAGAAACAAATTACTTTATTTTCATCTTTAAAATCTTAGAGCTTAAATTCTATACCATGTCTCTGTAGTTTAATGAAAGTTTTAAAATTATTAAATATTTACTGATATATAAATAAGTCAGAGAACATTTTCAACACAAAATTTTAAGATTTTATATATATATATATATATATAATCTAATTTTTCTTTTTTTTTATTTACTATAAAATTTAAATTAATATGTTTTTGTCTCTTAACTTGAAATTAGTTCTTTTTCAAAATTTTGTATTACTTTAGTCTCTTATTTTTAAAATTGTGTAAATTTATTTTTTTTAACCAAATTTTTTTAAGTCTATTTTTGAAGTTTTAAATGTGTTTTTCAATCAATATTAAAGAAAAATATGTCAAATATACAACTCAACTATTATCATGAAATGCTTTTGAAACATCAAATAAATTTAATAAAATTTTGTTAAAATGACTAAATTCACGTAGTTCTGAAATTGAGAGACTAAATCAAATTAAAGTTTTGAAAAGAAACTAATTCCAATTTTTAATGAAATCAAAATATTTTTAACTCTAAAAGTTTTAACTTATATACTTAAAAACATTGCAAACTTTTATCAACATAACCAAACGAAAACTAAGAGGAATAATGGGACCAATGCTCTTGTATAATAAAGAAAAAAAATTGGTTTGTTACAATAATCTTGGACTATTAAATTTATGTACTAATGTTTTATTCATGTATAGTTTGAATATGAAAAACTAGAAAATAACCTATTATCATATTTGTTAGTATAAAAGGTTCTATAAAGTCATATTTTTTTCTCATTGGCCTCACTACAAGGCTTAATAACATTTATTATTTTTATATTTATAATAATAATTCAATGTTTTTTTCTATTTAATTTTTAATTCATCCGATTCCTATATTTTTTTAAAGAGATTTAGTGAAACTCTTTCCAACAAATCAGTGTTAGGATTGGACGATAAACTTATAAAAGAAGGCTTAAATGCTTACTTCTTCCTCATGTTAAGAGGTGTGAATTTCTGTTTAGTACTCGGTTTTAAAAATGAAGACATTGGGTCCCTATGTTATGAAAAGTGTATGAATAAGGTCATGTCAATTAAGTTGACAGCAACGACGTTAAGTCCATGCTGATGTGGCCGTACTTTTTCTCTTCTCTCTTTTTCTGTCCGGCTTTTTCTATCTCTTGTTCAGCTTTTTCTTTGATGATTTCTTGAACTTGTTCTTTCTTTTTGGACCTTATTCATATATTCTAAACAAAAATTCACCTCTTAACATGAAGACGAAGTAAGACAAAGTAAGCATTTAAGCCTAAAAGGAATAAATGAATGTATTAACTGTTAGTTCATCATTTTTAAATAGTATTAATGTTGATCTAATAAAATTAACAACATTTTTTTAAATATAAAAATCATAATAAGTTAAAAATAAATGAAAAAAATATTACAAAAATACTATTAAACCTAACTTAAATATATTTATATATGTATAATTGTGATTGTTTGTAAAAGTTGAGATACATGTAAAAGAAAAATCATTTTAGAAATTGAGTTTAGATGGGGACTTTTAGGCATCAGCAATTCGATTGGAAGTGAGAGGAGGTGAATGGAAAGATGCATACATGCAAATGGATGGAGAGCCATGGAAACAACCTTTGAGCAAAGACTTCTCAACATTTGTACAAATTAAGAGAGAACCTTTTCAATCAATCATGCTTAGTGGAGATTAATTCTTTCTTCAAAGGTTCGTTATTTCATAAGTTTTTTTTTTATTTTAAATTATAATAAATCGAATAAAAAATCTATTAATTTATTTTTGTATTTTCATTTATTAAAAGTTCATTTTAAACTGCAAATTAAAAAAAACATTTAACTATAAAAAATTGTTCAGATTAAGTTTGATCATCCGTATTATAATAGAGGATAATTAGGTCTTGATAGATAATAGATAAAGCATTATTTAATCATCCATAAAATTAAATAAAATAAGTTAATTCAATACATTTTTTTTATAATGTTTGTAAGAATTACTTAATGAAAATATTAATTGTGGATAAATAAATTGTTTTACTACTTATAACTGTGGCATTTATGTAATGGATGCATATTACGTGTAATGTAATTTTTCCACTTAGTTTCTTATACTTCCTTCGTTTCAATTAGTTTTTTCATCATTTTCTATTTTCTTTTATGCACCCAACCTCTCTTTTCTATAAGTGTGTACACCTTCGTTGGTGAAGTGATTTTTTCAAATGTAATTTTTGGTATTAACTAATGAAGAAAATTATAATTGTCAAACAAAATTTCTCCGTTGCTTATTTTGGTAAATTTTGGCAATTGTAGAATTCTCCAAGATAAACTACATTGCTAAAGGCAACATGGAAGTCCAATTATCACTACTTTGTGTCGGATGCTATGCTAGCATATTACAATGTATGACTTCAGTTTGTAGTGTGTATCTACTCATCCTAGAATATTACTTGTAAAAAAAATTAAGAAACGAAGGTGATGAAGGTTATTATTGAACTCAATTTAATTAGCTTTCCATTTTCTTCTTTTATGATCACCATTTGAGTAAAGATGATTAGGGGGGAAACAATTTTATTTTCAATCTTATTAACCACAACATCATAAGTGTTTTAAGTTTGAGAGGAAAATTATGGAAGAGATGAAGAGGAAGGAGACCTTGCAGGTGTTTGATGAAAATCTTGGGGTGATTAAATTGAGCAACGTAAAATTGTTCCTTGTGGAGATTCAACACTCATGATTTGGGTGGATTTTAAAACCATGGTGATCACCGATCATGTAATTTTTTTTAAGTAATACAGTGAATGGTATGATTTACAAGAATGAGACATTTAAAACTGTTTTACTCTATTTACATCATTTAAAAAAAAAAACTAACTAATTTAAGAAGTTACATTAAAATGTTAGAATTTATTTTTTATTTTAAATTGTATAAATTACTTATAGATCTATTTTTCTTAAATACACAAAATTTTAAAAGAAATTAATTTAACGAATAACTAGTAAAAAAATTGAACTCAGAATCTCTCTTATTATTTTTTTCAAACCTTTAAAATTAATCTTAAATCACAAAATAATAGAATATGTTTCTCTCCAAAATATTTAAAACTGTTTATGTTTAGTCTTGTTGGTCTAATATTGAGCTTAAACATTCTAAGAAATGTCTTTTCTCTCGTAAACTCATCATATTTATAACTTACACAGGAAGTTCAAAGTTAGGTAAATTTCGTGGCCCTAAAACCATTTAAAGATATACATTTGGGCTTTTAAGTAGTATGTTTCCAATAAGCATAATTTATCATTTTCTTTCTAAACAATTAATAAAACATCATATTAATATATATATATATATATATATATATATATATATATATTGGAAACCGGTGTTTTAAAAATTGTAATGTATTTATTATATTAATTTAAGTTTATAAAAAATATAATTATAATTTAATTTAAGTATTTTATTTTATACAAATAAATAATAACATTTAATTGTTTTCGTAAGATTATACTTAACTTGTTCTTACACGATTGAGATGTACCAACTCAATCCACACATGTACCCATTAACCTTTATCCATGTTACTTCTTTTTTATAGATTGAGATTTTCTAGGCTTGAACTAACAAGAAATGACTCTGTCCCTCGAGCCAAGATCTCCTAAACTCTATGGTTGAGTGCTTGCAATAACATTTTAATGCTTAATAATACACAAGAATTAATAAATGCAGTTAAAGAATGACTTGAATATCATACATAATAATAAACAATATATTTTTATTCATATCTTAATTATTGATTATTATTGTTAATCTCCTCTAATATCATAAACAGGTTTACATGTGCCGGGTCATGTCGTTTCATACATCTTCTAGGTTAACATAATATATAATCTAATTGCTAAAAGAATGTTACATGTGATAACAACATTGAAATTCTTTATTATTAACGTGCAATGTAAAAACATGATTGATATTGTCACCACTTATCATCACTTAAAGAAATTTCAGCACTTTTTTTATCACAAATTGGAAATACTAATTAACAATAGTATACTCGAATTGCATATTTTAAAAAGGCTAAAGGACCAATTAATTCCTTTTATTGGAACCAAGGTACAGATTCCCAAAACAATAGCTACCAAAAATGAATTTAAGACTAATTTATATCTTTAATTATTAGTTAAATAAAGTATTGTGAGTAATTTTAAATTAACCATATCGTTATAAAATTAAATTTAAAAATATATAAAGACAGGCACATGTAATAATTATTAATTAATTTTTATTTTAATTATATAAGTATTTAAGATTTCAGCAAATAAAATTAAAAATAGAAAAGACTGTTATATACAAATAGAATTAATGTTAACAATGTAATTATTCATCAGGTATATTAAGAATGTTAAAATTCAATTACATATAAAAGTTATTATAAAACTGAAATTAGAGATTATTACTATTTTTGCTTGGGTTAAGTTTACTCCATCTGTATGTAGTACATTAATGTATACAAAGTTTAATGAGTTGAATTGTTTACCCTTGATAAAATATCATCCCAGAATTAAAAAGCAACAGTTATGCAATCTAACAGCTTGTTCAAGTTACAAACTACTTGCATGCTGTTAGAGTTTTTAAAATGAAATCACGGTTATGGGTTTGGATATCAAACAGAAAATATAGACTATGGAGAGAGTAGAATATAGCATCGTGTTGATATCACGTTATCAGTAACATCAATATATAAACAAAAATTACTAAATAAGAAGACTCCTCATGTACATAAAGGTGCTCTCAAACGAAGTCATCGACTTCCAATGCCACAATATAATGTACACAGCAAATCTTCATCCATTACGTTGCAAGACATAATATAGGGGATATATGATTAGAGTAAAACTATTGCTCACAACATTGATTTACTCACCAAAAAGGCTAAAGAAGGAAGTTATCTATCATATGGTAAACCACATCAGCACCATCAGAATTCAACCAATATGTTTTCACCTGGGACCAAGGCAAAACACTGGAAAAGTTAGAAAAAGAAACAAGGAACATCAAGCTCGAGGAATCGTCACACATAATGACTTCCCGGTTTAAAGGACTCTTCCCAAAAACAATTGTGAGAAAAGATATTAAATGTGTTAGAAAGTTTCACATCGACTAAGAACAATTGTTTAGCCTTTAACGAGTTACCTGAATTGTACTGTGAGCAATGTAGCGCTGTTTACTTTTCTGAAAGCTAACATCCACACGTTCCCAAGATACTTGAGTGAGCCCCCTTATCATCTCCTCTACACAAGGAAAGTATAAAACAAAGTCAGAACAATAGGAATTACACAGTAGCCTAAGGATTAAATATAACAGGAACTTGAAAAAATAATACTTGGATATTTGAAGAGGAAAGATCTCATTCAATTTGAATTGATAGTAAATTTGCAAAGGGTATATATGGAGTTCTAACCACCCTGGAAAAATGATTACCGTATCTTAATTTTCATAATTACAATGATTGATAACATCTCCTTGTAACTTAATAATATCTTTTCATAACTTACCACTCCCCTTCAACACTCCCCTTCAAGCTGTTAAATGAGTTAATATCTATCACTCTTAGCTTCCACGTATCGTGAAACCATTATGTGGAAAGATCTTTTGTGAACAAATGTGATTGAAGCGTCAGTGTATTTAGTCCTATAATACTTAAGTAGATTGCAAGCAATACTAATAACTAATTTATCATCACCATAAAGGGTTATAGGTTCTTCACGCTTCACTTTAAATATCATTCAAAATAATTTTTGTCAATAACAATTCACACATTCTGTTAGGCTCCTTTAGTCAAGAAGCCAATCAAATCTCTCCTTCTCTCAAGAACACACAAAACAGAACTGAATAGAATGTATTACTGATGTACGAGTGAATCAGAATACAAAGAATCACCCCCAAGGGAGCCTTCCTCCCTCCACTGGACAATGTTCCAGTCTAACAATTCACAAATCCAAAACTGCCCTCTACCGGACCCCCCTTGCCTTCTTATAAAGGCAACTCACTTCTAACTACCCAACAACAATTAATTCCTAAAATTGTTTTCTCTGTCCTGCCCGTATTACCCATTAAAACCTATCTTATTATATCCTATCACATTCCTTGAGCAACAGCTCAAAACTCAACCTCAACATCAACATCAACATCGGACTTTGCAGTAATATTGTTTTAGTCCTCCAAGTCACCAAGTTTCCACCCCAGAATATGCAATATTTGGAGGTGGACCTCCTATTAGCTACAGACCCTACATATTTTGCATCAGTATACATCTCCATATTTAATTTCTAGACTTCTAGAACAACAACCCCTTCTTAGACTTTTCTTCAAATATTAAAGGTATTCGTAACTTGTAAGTGCCTCTCTTGGATCATGCATGNATCAGAATACAAAGAATCACCCCCAAGGGAGCCTTCCTCCCTCCACTGGACAATGTTCCAGTCTAACAATTCACAAATCCAAAACTGCCCTCTACCGGACCCCCCTTGCCTTCTTATAAAGGCAACTCACTTCTAACTACCCAACAACAATTAATTCCTAAAATTGTTTTCTCTGTCCTGCCCGTATTACCCATTAAAACCTATCTTATTATATCCTATCACATTCCTTGAGCAACAGCTCAAAACTCAACCTCAACATCAACATCAACATCGGACTTTGCAGTAATATTGTTTTAGTCCTCCAAGTCACCAAGTTTCCACCCCAGAATATGCAATATTTGGAGGTGGACCTCCTATTAGCTACAGACCCTACATATTTTGCATCAGTATACATCTCCATATTTAATTTCTAGACTTCTAGAACAACAACCCCTTCTTAGACTTTTCTTCAAATATTAAAGGTATTCGTAACTTGTAAGTGCCTCTCTTGGATCATGCATGAATCGATTGAACACCCTTGTAGCATCTGTTATGTGGGCAGGTAGACCATCTGGTCTAAAAGTAGGTTTGACAAACCAATTCATCGTCTAGTGCCACAATCATTGTTCAGTTTTTGTTAGCTTTTTGTTTCTATTCTAACTAACACTTTGTACCTTCCAAGTCCTCTATATGTACGGGTAAGATGTAAGCATTCCAACAAAGTGCACTAATAATGCAAGAACTCTAGTTAGATGGTTATATACTTGTGTATTTGTTCATCATTACTTTGTAATACGAAGAACCTTGTGACCTAACTCAACTCCACAAGATTAACAAGTATGGAGAATCACCACTTGTAACCTAGCTTAGAAGACAAGAAACTATAATAAATAACACTTTCTACTTTCAGAACTTACAGTTACTACAAAGCATCGCCAATGATATGCTAAAGAGTAACAAAAAGAATAAGAAATAAGGACAACTCGTCGACCACCACCAAAGATAAGCTAAATGAAGGAAAAGAAAAGTCACTTGGGATATGCACACCTAAGGGAAGAATTCTCCAAATTAACTCACATAATAAACCATGTTGAGTTACATGAATATACAAGCTCTCCTTATATAGAGAGTGTGGTGGGAAAGGATTAGTTAAACACTTGCCTTACTAGTCCTAGACATAGAAAACGAAATTCAGATTAGGAATAGCTTTAAAAATTGAATACATTTTTAATCCTTTTTTATAATCACATCAACATTGCGCATAGGGATGCATGTTCTAGAGATGTAAGAAGAAAATACACATTCAATGACTTCTTTCGCTTTTAGAAAAGGATATTTATTAGTTTGTTGAAGAGAAGACCATGACAACTTTGTGGCTAAAGTTGAAGAAGCTCTTCATAACAAAATCTATCTACTCTTTGACTTGCGTATTAAAGGAGGGTTCACCACTAAAGGCTGATTTTGAAGAGCTAAATTTAATTTTGGTGGAGTTGTACGAAATAAGATGAAGATGCAGATGCAATGATGATTGTGCATGATAGGTTTGGAGGAGCTACATGTCAAATGTAATACATGAATAGCTATTTTTGAGTTCTAGACACTCATCATCATAAGACTCTCATCGATTTGCTTTAGTTTTAAATTAATTGACCTAGTGGCCAAGGGCAACCAAAATAATTAGCTTTTTTTTTAAATCATCAAATTGGACATCAATCAAAGTTTGTTCATCTTCATCCTTCACCATGCTTGTTAGACATTCCATTAGCCCTCGTTTCACTTCCAAATAAACTTCAAATCCAAGACGATAGTGCAAGGGTTAAGAAAATAGCATAAAGCATGCAATGAGCTATGAAATTGCTTGTCCACCTTTCATCAATGATGTTCCACAAAGCCAAATAACTAACCAAAATATATTACATTGAGTTTCAAAACAACTAAATTAATAAATATATGGATAGCTCAATTAGATACCTTTTTTCTAACAATATTGAAAGCCTTTTGTATCTTCTGCATAACTTGGTCCATGGCTTCATATATGAACCCTATGGCTGGTTTTTTATTTGAGTCAACCAATCAAAGACCTTGATGCACCCTTCAAATAAATTATGATATTCCTCTAAATATCCTTTTCCAATACCACATTCTCAATTGTTTTTCCATCCTTTGTTTTGGCAAACCTACTCACTTCAACTCATTACTAGTAAACATTCTACTTAAAGCACCCTCATTCTCATGAAGAAACCCTAATTTCAAGTATGATGTGGCATAGAGAGTAAAACTCTGCCTCACCCAATCTCTTCCTTTTTTGTAGTAGAAAAATTAAAGAAGTTCTTGAATATAGATTGTAATTTTTTCCAAAATTAGAGAAGTTCCTAGATAGATAAAGGTTGTAATTCTTTTGGAATTTTCTTCTAGTGAATTGAGATCTTCTTCACATAATCATCCAACACTAAGTCAACACAATGTGCAACCTAAAGCGTCCAAAAGAGGTTTTTCCTCTTTTCCCTCGACATTTAATCCAAACTTAGAAGTTTGTTGCATTATCTAACACAACTTGAACAACATTGTCTTCCCCCACCTCTACAGTATAGTTATCCATATCCCAAAAAACATTTCAGCAGTTTTGGATATTGGAATGCATCTATGGCATCAAAACCATGATCCCATTTGGGCTGTTCACCAGGAAGTTTATTATTGTCCTTCTTTTATCACTCCCACCATTAATAATAATTGTGCATCTTGTTTTCTTCAATTCATCCCTATAGAATTATTGTAGGAATACCTAGCAATTGCTTCACATGCTATCTCTCAGAGCTTTCTTGAACATTGTATTAATGATGGTTGGTGTGCTAAAAACTATGATCTTAAACATATTTCTAGGACTGTCAATGTCAACTGTTTTGTTGTTTTTTCTTTTATCACAAATCTTCCCCAATAAGTCTTAGGTACAAACATTTAGAAGAGAAGGGCTTAAGTCACTTCAAGGAACTACCTATTTTTTCTTTCAACAATCTTATTTTGTTGTGATGTATCCACTAATACCAAAGATACACTTAGATAACTTAACAAGGAACTTGTTAGTAACAAGTAAATATAAATTCAAGCATAAATGGGTTAAATGAACAAGTGGAGGATACAAATAAGAATGTCATCAGAGAAAATATAGACAAACCGACTGAAAATGGTCTTAACAAATCATTCTTCGCAAATTGAAATGTTGATGGAGCCTTACTGAGCACAAAAGGCATGAGTAGGAGTTCATAGTGTCCATCACAAGTTCTAAAAGCCATTTTGAGCATTTGTATAACCTAATCTGAGATCCATTTTGGTAAATACCTTTATTGGACCTAATTCAATTAAAATTCATCCATCATGGATATAGGCAATTTATCCTTAATAATCACTGTGATTCATGCCTTATGACTAGGGGATTATCTTGTAGCATTTCATGGATGAAGCCCACACTTGCCTCTTTTTGGGAGTGAGGGTGACGATAAGGCTTGATGACGACTAGAAAGGTATGGAGGATTGTAAATCCATTTTTAGAACATTTAATTTAAGCTTTCTCAAATTATAATTAAGACTAAATTCATTGATTTAGCTTGAATTTACCCAATTGGGGTTAATTGAGCTTCAACTAATCCACATGGAAGACTAAACCATTTTGGATTGATTCTCTTGTAATTTCATAGTGAATTATGAGGTTTTATGCAATTCAAGTTTGTTCTTAGTTTCTAGTAACAGAGAGTTCCTATATCGTATGTTATTTTTGAATTCTAGTCTATGCTCTTGGTATTGTTTTTGAACGCTTCTTGATAATTCAACCATGTTCTTTAATTGGAGTTCTTATTGGTTTACTTAATTCTAACAATCTCTTGTTTGCTCAATTCAAGAGGTAGAGGAATGAAAATTTCAAATCTAGATGCTTGGAGACATTGGAGATACTTAACAAATTGATTGACGTTTGTTTCATTAATTCAATTATGTTTATAAATTGAATGGATGATAATCATAATTAATGTAGAATTCAAGTGTGAATGAACTAGAGAATCAATTTACTTTTAGCATAGTCTATAACGCTCATTCTATTATATGCTTTTTGTGGATGCTTTCAAATTTTGGTTTACTAATATTCTAGATGATTTCGTTAGGAGATGACTTTGGATTAATTAACCCTACCTATACCTATATTTTGTTGATATGCGGTTAGAGTATCTAGATTCTTTCAATCGACTGCCTACTCTTGAATTCAATGGTCAACTCTTTCAATTTGATTGAAAACGACAATGATCATGGGGGTTATGTGGAGTTGATGAGGAATCAAAGGATATGGGTTGGAAAGTGAGGTGGTAGAAAGATGCAACTAAGTTAGAGTATAGTAGTACTTAAGATTGAAACTGTAAAATAATTCTAGAGGGCTTAATTGATCCC